TTTTTTTAATCATGGTTTTCTTTAGTTCTGAGAGCAAGTTTATACTTTGAAATCTCTTTCTGGTAAGTCCAACATCTGATTGTTCTCACCATTAATTTCTTTTCCCTGCTTTTTTCCTGGTCTGTGGGTCATACTTTCTGTTTTTTGTTTGTCTTAGGTATGCCACATACGTTTTTTATTGTTGCAAACTGGACATTTTAGTAATATGTAGCAACTTTGGAAGTTGGTCATCTTTTCCCTAACCCTTTCTGGGGCTTCTTATGTTATTTACTTCTTTATTTCTTAAGTAGCTTGCTATTCTATTTCCTCTCCAACAGAGGACTATGATGATGGTAGGGCTTTCTTCACCTTTTTCTCGAACCACAGCCAGCTTTTGAGCTCCTCTACTTGCTGGCTAATTGGTTTTTTTTTTGTTGTTGTTGTTGTTGTTTGTTTGTTTGCATTAACCTAGTACATAAATCGCTATAATGAAATACTACTCACCTTAAAAAAAAAAAGACAAAATCTTGCCATTTGTGACAACATTTATAGAACTGAAAGGAATTATGCTAAGTGAAGTAAGTCAGAAGTAGAAAGACAAATACTGAATAATTTCGTTCATGTGGAATATGAAGAAACAAAGCAGTGTAACAGACAAATACAAAGCAAAACAAATGACTGAAATTTGAATATAGAACTAAAGCTACCAAAAGGGGAGAATGGGGAGGTGGGAGCAAAAGAGGGAGGATTCCCAGTGGTCTATGGTGGAGGATTTTTTTTTTTTTTTTTAGTGGTGGGTACCATGTGGTTACATACATCTGTAGAGATATGAACCTGTTTTGCTAAAACATATACAGTATTGTTATCAGCACCTCAATAAAGATAATTTTTAAAAAGCCCATATTTTATAATTGTGAATGACAAATTCAATCAACTTATGGCTCCTTTAAAGGAATAGTTTCTGAGATAAATGTTTGATATTTCTTCCAACTCTAATAGGCTTTTTCCTGATTTAATCCCAGCTCCCTCCTGCAAACTAGCTGAGTTTAGTCTGTGCCTTGATTCTTCTTCCAGTTGCCTTTCATCATATTCTCCACTGTTTTATAGAACATACTTAGACTTGAACTTCTTTAGACTGTTATAAAGGAAGTCAGTTCTTATGTGCAGAGATTAGAAACTATCTATTTTTACTGCTTTCCCCTTCAGGTTCAGGTAAAATCTCTGAACCAGTGCTCAGGAGATAGGGTGGCAACACTGACAAGTGACATTAATGCTCTAGGAGGCAAGTGTTTGGTGATGCAGCAGCCTGCAGTCTTCTCAGCTTGGAATAACATCGTGGGGTAGTAGCATTTAGGGCTACTTCACTCTCAGTGTTCCATTCAAGGTAGAGTTAACATTTCACAAGTGGGGGTGGTAGAAGAAACCCCCACATCTCAATAATACTTCTCTGGGACTTAGGTTGAACAACAGGGAACTGGAAGCAAGATGAGAAAAACTTAAATCCTGCTCCTTTTGGGTATAGAGTCTACTGGTTGACAGCTGGAGGAGGAATCAGCTGTATGGCCATAGTAGGTGAAATGGAGTCTTGTTGAGATGAGAAGAGAAAGGTAGGGGTGGTAAGGGAGTTAGGAATTGGCTTTGTTCAGAAACCACAGACTCTCTCCTCCTGTACCAAATCTTTATGGATTTCATTTCTTCATGTCTGAAGTTTTAAATGGTTTTAATTATTTCCATCAGTTTTGCTTGGTAATAGAGTTCCTCACACTGTAATGCTGGGTTTTTAACAAGTATGAACTGAGACCATGTTTAGGCTCAAAAAATTTTGGGAATGATCTTTGCTGTTCTCATAGTATCCTCAATTTACTAATCAGCACTTACTCTTTCTAGGTATGACGTACTATAATATTCTGTATTCTATCTTCATTTTAAAAATGCTCGGTTGCTGTCTACTTAACTGATTTCACAATTTGCAGTTTGAAAAACATTCCTTCGACTAAGGCTCCTTGTAAAAGTTAGGTACTGTGCCTGGGATTGATATTTTATCACTAATGTTTGGCTTATTACTGGTACACAGTAGGTTCTTAATGGATGTTGTTGAATGGGCATGTGAATGCGGAACTTCTCATAGTCTTTAACAAGTTACAGTGCACTGAGATTCCCAAAGAAAGGTTATAGTGTTCAGTTAGAGGGCCTCCCCGGTGGCGCAGCGGTTGAGCGCTGGGTTGCGAAGCTGCCCGTGGCCTCTGCGACACCGGTTTGATCCCCGGCTGCTCCCCGGCCACCAGAGGAGGGTCCCACATGGCGCGCAGACCTCTCCTGCCGCCCGCTGCTCCCCTCAGCAGTGTACTTCTGTCCTTCTGCCTGCTCTGCTCCCTACTCTGGCTCTGGTGAATTCTCTCACCCTCCTGCGCTTCTGACTGTACCCAGTGCTTGTATAAACAAACAAATAAATTAATAAATAAATAAATCATGCCTCTATTAAAAAAAAAAAAAAACAAAATTAAATATAGTGTTCAGTTAGAAACCTCATTGGTTTCCTGAACCCTTTCACTGTGGAGTCCTTCAGAACTAGTGCTTGTGAAATGCCATTTAAATTATTGAAATATGGTTTGGTAAAATTCTTTTTCCAATGAAAATAAGGGTAAAACCCAGGAAGTACCATGTAGATATTTGTACTTTCAGGGGAGCATTCTTTCCAAATGCTTAAAGGAGAAAACCTATACTATAGGAAAGACATAGAAACAAAGAATAGTATGTACATAAAGGTATTATTTGTGGACTAGTTTATTCATCAAGCTCAATTTTAATTAAATGTTACAGTTATGTTTTTTGACTAGTGGAAATATGTCAAGATCTTTATTGATGCTTATGAGTGAAAGGATTTATATTTTCTTTGATTTTTTTTTTTAAGTCCCAAATAGATGCAGTTAAACCTTTTGAGGATTGCCAGACCAAATGTAGTTCTTGGAATATAATAGGGACTAAGCAGTAGCAATTTAGTAAGACTTAGGCTATGTACATAGATACATATTCAAGCTGTTCCTTGAGATTATCTTGTCCCTACATGAGGCAGGGGAGAGCAAAGAAAGACCCATGGACCAGAGTCCATATATTCTACTGTTATAATATCTTATAGTCTATGTTGGGATGAACACTTCTTTAAGAACAAACAAATCCAGCCAGAAAAATCTTCATATATTACATATGAAAGTTCTTCCCTATAAATTCTTACTTGCCATTGGAAATGCATATTGTGGGTATTGCCAGAAGGAAACCCAATAAAAGCTTTTGTATTTAATTTCCCAATGGTTGAGAAGCTCACATATTAGATTTGGAAGCACATAGTACTTCACATTACAACCAACAGGAATCATCCTGTCTGGATAAAACAAGCATCTGTCTGTCTGAATTTACAGAACTATTACTCAGTGAACTGATTAATTTTATTATATAAGGTATGAGGATTGTGGCTACTGCCAGATGTAGTTGAGATTGATTTCTCCTTTTTTCACTCTGCTCCTGCTATTTTTGATTCTTATGCTCAATGTCTACAATAAGCTTTAGTTTTTTTGAGCCAAAGTTGCTCCTTTCACTGTGACCGTATTTTTTTAAATAAAAGATTTATTTATTTTTTTGCGTAGAAGAACTGAGTTGTGGCCCAGAGTTGTGTGGGGGTGGGGGGTGTGTGTGTGAGAAAATTGACCAGAAACAGAGTGGGAAGCAGAACAGGTGTATCTACTGAAATACACTGCTAAGGGGAACAGTAGGCTAGACAGGAGAGGTCTGCTGTGCCCTGTGTGGGTTAACTCCCTGGTCGGGGATGGAACTCAGACCATGGTAGTCATAGTGCTGACACTTAACCCCTAGGCCACAAGGGGTGACCTTTTTAAATAGTTACTTGAGAGCGAATTTTAGCTTCACAGTATAATTGAGTGGAAAGTGAAGTTTCCATATATACTGTCCCTGGATATTTGAAGGTGATAGGTTCCAGAACCATCCCCTCTGACTTTCCTAAACCCTTGCCCCTAGGATCCCAAAATCTATGGCTGCTCAAATCCCTTATGTAAAATGGTACAGACTTGCATATAACTTACCCACATCCTTCCAAATACTTTAATTCCTCACTAAACTAATTATAATACCTAATGCCATGTAAACAGTTGTTAAGCTGTATTAGGTAGGGAAAAAAAATCTGTGCATGTTCAGTACAGTTGCAGACATTTTAGGCCTACTACATTGTATTTATTTCGATCTGCATTTTGTTAAATCCACAAAAACAGAGCCCAAATATGCAGAACCATTTTATAATAGAGGACTGTATTCTCTTCCCCTGCAAGTTCACAACCTCTTCCATTATTAACTTCCCACTCCAGAGTGGTACATTTGTTACAGTTAATGAACCTACACTTGTTTATCATAATCATCTTCATCTAAAGTTCATGGCTTACATTAATGTTCACTCTTGACATGGTGTATTCTGTGGGTTTGGACAAATGTGTAATGGCATGCCCCATTATTGTAGTATCATATAGAATGGTTTCACTACCATAAAATTCTTCTGCGGTCTTCTATCTTACCTTCTCAACTCCTGTCAAGCTTTTTGATTTTATTTTTAAAAATTGAGGGACCAGGGCCTCTCTGTGGCGCAGGGGGGTGAGCGCAGTACTGTGAAGCTGTCCATAGCCTCTGCAGTGCAAGTTCAAACCCTGGCCGGCCAGGGAGCTACCCACATGCCACAGCAGACCTCTCCTGTCTCACCCACTACTCCCCTCAGCAGTGTATTTTGGTTAATCTGCCTGTTCTGTTCCCCACTCTGTCTCTGGTGAATCCTCTCACCCCCTGCACCTCTGGCCTGTACCCAGCTTTTATATGCACAAATAAATAAATCTTTAAAAAAATTGAGGGACCAGTTATAATTGTACAGCTATATTGAACTATTACACTACCTTAGTCATATATAATTCAGATAATTTCTACTTATGTAAGAACTGCTGATATATTCCTTTTATTCCTTTTCCCAGATAATGGCAAGTCAGTGACCATATTGTGTGACAGATGTTCTTTCATCTTCTCGTGATGGTGGTCTGCTAATTGAAGATACTACTGGGCAAATGATAAAATCTGATAATACAACCCTAAGTAGTAAGGTTTGCTCTAATCTGTAGAGCTAGAATAAAATTTAAAGTGGTTTTTTTCTCTTTGTAGAAATTATGGTCATCTCTTCTAGAGACCTCAATAAGAAAAGACATGATCTTTTTCCATAGCCTTAGTCTTCATGCACAAGTTTCCTTTTTGCTACACCTTTTTTTGAAGAGTCTGTCTGTGCTTTAGTACCTGTCCATGACCAATCGTGAGATGAGCGGCAGACCTAGTAGAAAACAATTTATATTCTTGATGGCTCTAATGGAACCAATTAGATTCTCTTCCTCTAAGAACAGACACCTTGAGATACTGAGTTAATAAGATGATGATGAATCCTTGGGCTGAAAATCATGTAGAGTTGTGACTAGGTTCTAAAGTATACCATGGAAACCATATATAAACTGGGGGAACAAAAATGCAGAGGAAGCTAGTCTACGGAGAAACTGGTCAGTGGAGTTGACATATGGAGACCCAGTTCTCATATAGTCCAGCTAAAAACTTTGTTTTCTTTCCTTGGGTATCTAAGAGATCTTTTATTTCATTCTCCATTTGAGGATAACCCCCACTTCCTTCATTTGACTTGAGCTAGTAATTTTAGAACTAAGATATAGTGCCAGTAGAATCTAGTATAATAGAGTCTTATGTAATTAAGTCTTGAAGTCTCTTTAGGTTGTAAGACACACAAAAAGAAAGAAAACCAAGTTATAATTATAAGTGTAAAATAAGTATACATTGGGGTAGTCTTTGATCAGTCATTTTTGTCTTCACTGAGGACATTTACTCACCACCCTTCCATTTTCTAGGCTAAAGAATATAAAAATCATTTCATCTTTTCTAAAAAAAAAGTTCTGCTATTTTCTACTTATTTATTATATTTTTCATCAGCTCCTTCATATAACTTCTGGTAGAATACTGCATTAACTACTTGGGGAGCTGGGATCTGTTCTTGCTGAGACTCTGACAAGGTGATGGTCTAAGGAAGATACTTTATCTCTTTATACCCTATTACCTTTTCTGTGAAGTCAGGCTAGATCACAGATTTCCGGGGATTAGGGCTTAGATATATTTTGGGGATAGTGTCCAGTATTTAGCCTACTATAGTTGAGACAACATTTTTGAACTATTTTTTTTATACATGTGATATCCTTGACAAGGTGTTAATAAAGAAGCTCAAGAAATTAAGTTACTTACCAGATATTTGCTATAGATAAACTTAACTATCTTTCACTTAATGACTTTGGATAGTTCCTATAAACTCTGTCCCTCTGTGAAAAGCTAGTAAAGAAAAAAAAAATTGTTAATTTTAACATGAACACTTATAATGTATTCCATAGTAACCCAACCATTTTCCACAAATTAAAAACTATGTTATTGAGCAATGAAAACACATTTATATAAATACTAAACAATTTAAAAATACAGTTTGTACATGAAATATAATAAGAGGATTCTTTTTACCTCAATAGAAAAGGCTTAACAGGGTCTGTGAATTGATGGAAGAGGGAAAAAGCCATTCTTTGAAAGATGGTGGAGCCATCTTATATGATAATAACATAGAGAACCCTAAAAAATCCACAGAAAAACTAATCAAAATAATCAACCAGTTTAGTAAGTAGCAGGATACAAAATCAACACACAAAAATCAGTAGCCTTCCTGTATGCAAACAATATGAAGAAGAATAAATCAAGAAAATATCCCTTTTACGATCGAAACAAAAAAGTCAAAATCTTGAGAATAAATCTAACAAAAGAGGTAAAGGACCTATACAAGAAAATTATAAAACATTGTTAAAAGGAATAGAAGAGGACACAATGAAATGGAAAGACATCCTCTGCTCATGGATTGGAAGAATTAACATTATCAAAATGGCCATCCTACCAAATGCAATTTACATATTCAGTGCTATTCCAATAAAAATATCAATGACATTCTTCAAATAAATAGAACAAATACTGATGAAATTCATATGGAAGCATAAAAAAAAAAGCCTTGAATAGCCAAAGCTCTCCTGACTAAAATGAGGGGAAATGAAAGCATCACACTCCCAGACTTCAAATTATGCTTCAAAGCTCTAATAATTAAAACTGTATGGTACCAGAACAAAAAACAAACACACAAACCAATGGAATCAAATAGAAAACGCAGAAATAAACCCACATATTTATGGACAACTAATCTTTGACAAAGGAACAAAGAATATGCAATAGGTCAAAGACAGTTTGTTCAATAAATGGTGCTAGGGAAAACTGGACTGCTACATGCAAAAGAATGAAGCTAGACTACTACCTCACACCATGTACAAAAACCAACTCAAAATGCATAAAAGAATTGGGCATACAACTTCAGACAATAAAATATATAGAAGAAAATATAGGCAAAACTCTACATAACATACATCTCAGTAACATCTTTAAAGACCCATCCCCCCAAAGCAAAGTGAAGGAAAAGATGAACAGCTGGGACTACATCAAACTGAAAAGCTTCTGTACAGCAAAAGAAACATTAATCAAAACAAAGAGACATCCTACTGATTGGGAGAAAATTTTTGCACACAATACTACTGATGAGGGATTGATCACAAAGATCTACAAAGAGCCAACATGACTCAACAAAAATAAAATAAAATAAAATAAACAATCTAGTCCAAAAATGGGCAGAAGAGCTAAAAGGACACTTCTCCAAAGAGAAATTGCAAATGCCAACAGGCATATGAAAAAATGTTCAGTACCACTTGTAATCAGGGAAATACAAATCAGAACCACAATGAGATACTACCTTACACCAGTGAGAATGGCACATATTTAAAAAAAAACTGGAAGCAACAAATGTTGGCGAGGATGTGGAGAGAAAGGAACTCACCTACACTGCTGGTGGGAGTGCAAACTGGTCCAACCACTATGGAAAGCTTTCTGGAGGTTCCTCAGTCTACTAAAAATGGATCTACCATATGAGCCAGCAATTCCACTCCTAGGAATCTACCCAAATTAGGGTTCAGGAAAAAAAATTATAATTAAAAAACAAAATTAACAGGCAACTATAAATCAGACACATTTTGCAGGGGATGGGGAAGTGGTAGGTATTTTACAGGAACTACACCTGAGAAGAGAAAGCATACATTGTACAAAAAGGAAGAGTGATATAAAGCATATATTTAAAAAGTTAACACAAAAAAAATTCTATGGGTATATGAATTCTGTTTTTTTTCCCCATATGTAAGTATGTCAACTAGTCAATTGCACTTTATCTCAGAATTTGTCCCGTATATCCTTATTCTTTTCTACAAGACTCTTCCCTATGGTTTTCACATTCATTTGGGCTGATTGCCTCCTTGAAGTGGGGCATTAGCAAGCATACCATGTAGTACAAACTGAACATTAGCATTGTCATTTATGCACTAGGAAATATGATTGAATTATTCTCAAGTATTGTTTTTCTTTTCCTGGGAAGTAATTGAAATAGAGGACAGGACACATAATTTTGAAGTTTCTATGATTTTTCAAATTAATTGGTACTTTTATGGGCATCAGATGACTGGTATTTTTAGGGATATGTGTTATTTCTTCTTTGTGCTACGTAGAGGATCTTCTCTCCATTTTTCTGTGAATGCTCTGGCTGTAATGGAAATGCCAACAAGCATTGAAAGAAAGGATGTGCAAACATGACTGCAAATAATCAGGAGCTGCCGCTTTGTCATCGCATTAGGGCAAAGTAGAGGTTACACATAAATAAAATGCCCCCACCAGACCAACAGAGCTAAATGACCTACAGGCTGAAATTTATATGAATTGTTCAAGCAAGTCTGTTAGGGCTTTGTAATTGGCAATACTTGGTAGCTTCATAACAAGCCACAAAGAGCTCCAGAAAGAACCCTCCTTTTGTCATGGCTTTTATTGTATTCTGACTATATATAGCGTAACAGAAATAATCAACTCTATCATGATGTTACTTAAAATAACCCATAAATTTAATATTTTCTTTTTGAGTCTGTTTTACTGTTATACCATTTGGCCTCTAGCTTTACTAGTCTAGAACCTCTGTGTTTATTTCAAGTTCCTTGAGGGAAGCGGGATTATTTTAATCATGTTTAAATGAGTTTGAAAAAAAGCACAATTCCCCAGTCTTAGTACTATGTCTTGTCAGGCTTAAAAGTTGACTGAATTGACTAACATGTATCCTGCCCAGAGCCGTTAGAACTACTATTGCTTCTTCCTGTGAGTTTTTTCTGAACCCTGGAAAACAGGCAGGGCAAAAGATCTGGAAATAGCACCCTATTCCCTAGGGGGCTAGAACTGCATAGGAAGCAAAGAGGACAGTAACTGTGGCAAGACTGCGGTCATTCAAGCAAAGATGGGGCACTGTTTTCTTTTTGAGCCAAGACCCTAGTTTTAAAAACAGAGAGACACAGTTAGGTTGGAATTATTTGAAATCTGTCACTCCACAGTCATATTTTTCTGAAGCCAAGATAAACAGTTGGGTAGAGGTGTGTATATGGGCCATTTTTCAGTAAGTGGACTAAAATGTCCCTTGGAACTATTTCAGTAGGTGGTGCTCTTGTGCCATAACATAGTTTTGAGACCATGTTCTGAGACCACAGTGACTAGTTCTAGAGCTTGTGTCCCCGCTGATCCCCTCAGTGACTGACAGTTTCATCAGTTAGACAGCTTCGAACGGTTTTGGTGAAATGTTTCTCTGTCTAGCAATGAGGTGAATTCAGATCTTTACCTTCTCTCTAGCTTGCCTGAGCTCTGCTTTTCAAGAGAATATAAATGAGAGTTGTACTAATCTTTTTTTTTAAGTGACCCTAGTCTTTATCCAAACAGTTATGATGTGTGTTACCAGTTTTAAATAGACCATTTTTTAAATTGGAAACCATCTGTAATATCCTCCAAATCAAGTTTCTTTCCAAATAACTCAGTTTTCATGTTTCTTTGTGTTTTCCTTTCCTTTAGCTTCAGAGAAGATGCAGTAGAATGAAATAAATACGTGGTAGAGAAACTTGTAAGTGATAAAAATATTGAGCATCTAGTAATAACAGAAACTGACATTGACCTTGGTTGGCACAGCCCCACACCTCACTTCTTCTGTTGTATAATGAGTTCTTCTGTGTGAAGTTGGTTATGGTACCATAATGGTAAGCATAGCATCCAGTAAAGTTCATCTTTGGTGCTGTTGGCAGAAGCATGGCGGGCAAGGAAGAGAAATTTAAATCCAGACTGAGTATCTGCTTCTTGGAGCACAAATATCTTCTTGCTAGAAGTTGCCAGAAACAGTTAATGGTCTGTGTTTTCAGTAAGTTTTTTGAGGTTGTCTTTAAGGTGAAGGACAATGTCACCTTGTACTTGCCAGGTACTAAAGAACAGGCAAAATGCTTGTGGACTCAGCATCAACCTGTGGGTGTGAGGATCCTAACTGCTGATCCCTGTTGTCTGTCAGTTCCCAGGAGCTTAGCTCATATGAGCTTCAGTGCAGCAGAGCTTCAGGGAGCTCTCAGTAATTTCTTAAGTTTTTCTTCTTATAATATTTTAGTTTGTGTAGATTTGTTTATTGATTTCCTTAATTATCTCCTTAATATGTTTATTTGAATTATCTCTCTTGGTCTTTAGAATAATCTTTTAGATGTATTTCTTGAACACTCTTACCTTTTATCTCTTTAAATATTGCTTCTCTTCCATTCTTTTCACTTTTTTTTTTCCAGGATTTTTAACTGCTCTTTCATGTTTTTCCTTTCTTTTTTTTTTTTTTAAAGATTATTTATGCATACAAGAACCGGGGTATAGGCCAGAGTTGTGGGGGAGGGAGGTGACAACATTCACCAGAGACAGAGTGGGGAACAGAACAGACGGATTGACTGAAATACACTGCTGAGGGGAGCAGTGGGCGAGTCAGGAGATGTCTGCTGCGCCATGGGGGTCAGCTCCCTGAATGGGGACCGAAATTGTGCCTCAGTGGCTGCGGATAGCTTCATAGGTTGCGTCTTAATCCCTTGCACCACCAGGGAGGCCGTCATGTTCTTCCTTTCTTTCCAGGCTTCTTCCTAAGTAAATTTCTTGATATTATCTTCAAATGATCAGATCTTCAATTCTGTCCCACCTAAAGTATCTTGTGTACTGAGTTTTTAACTTTAAAGACTATCTTCATTACATAATTTCTGGTTAATTCTTTTTTTAAAAAAAAATTATTTATTTATATAAGCACTGGGTACAGTCAGAAGTGCAGGAGGGTGAGAGAATTCACCAGAGCCAGAGCGGGGAGCAGAACAGGCAGAAGGACTGAAGTACACTGCTGAGGGGAGCAGCGGGCGTGGCAGGAGAGATCTGCCTTGCCATGTGGGACCCTCGCAGGCGGCCAATGATCAAACCGGTGCTGCAGAGGCTGCAGGCAGCTTCGCAGTCCAGCGCTCAACTGCTGCGTCACCGGGGAGGCCCTAATTCTTTTATTATCATCTCGTCTTGTTTTGATTTCACCTGATTCAGTTTTATAATTTCTTATTCTTTTTTAATTAGCTTTTTTAGCATCTTAAATATACTTAATTTGTTGGATGATTTTATAATAATTTCATCTGAAGTGAATTAGTGAGCTGATGGCTGATTTTGTTAGTTGCTTTTACTGACATTTGATTTGTACTTTATTTTTTTTTTTAAATTTCACTGTTTAGTTAATGTTTTAGCCTGGCATGTTTTCTTTTTTTTTTATCATTTAAATTGTATTTTATATTCCCCTTACAATTTGTACTTTAAAACTGTGGTTGGGCCTCCCCTGGTGGCGCAGGTGGTTTAGCGCCACGCTGTGAAACTCCGCAGCCTCACCAGCACGGGTTCGATCCTGGCCGGCAGGTGAGGGTCCCACATGGCGCGGCAGACCTCTCCTGTCTCGCCCGCTGCTCCCCTCAGCAGTGTGTTTCGTCAGTCTGCCTGTTCTGTTACCCGCTCTGTCTCCGGTGAATCCCTCTCACCCTTCCGCACATCTGGTCTGTACCCCGGATCTTCTATAAATAAATAAATAAATCTTTAAAAACAAAACAAAACAAAACAAAACTGTGGTTGAATGCATGTTTTGAATGAGATTTACTTTTTATTGTTTTCATTCATTCATTTTTCACCTCTCTTTCTCCCTCTGATGACTTTCCCCTGTTTAGCAAATATGCAGGGTTTGTATCTGGCTTCTGTGGTGCCCCAACCCAGATAGCCAGTAGTGGTTTAATTACTGGGTTGCTTCTATGAGGTCCTGATCACTGTCTGGTGTGGGCCCTCTCACCACCCCTGCTGCACCTTCCTATAAGATAAGTAGCTGCCAACCTTCTAAGAATGGCTGACACTCCTACACTTAGCACTTTGACCCTGTCTTTAAGCAGTGATGCTAGCTCTGACCTTTGTGGGTTATTTTTAGTCTCAGAACCTTGTAACACTTATATTTTTAGTTCAATGCCTATTTTTGGTTTCTGTACTTAGGAGGTTCAAGACTTGTCATTCTAGGAACTAAGCCCTTTGTAGTTTTGTCCCATATTTAATTCACAGACATATTTGTGTTATTTTTTGAGTTTGCCTTGGCCCTTTTGGCATTTTCTTATGATTTTGCTCTCAGTGCTGTTTGTTCGGAATAGAGAGAATCTGTCAAAGAATAAATGCACTGTGCCATCCTAATTGGAAGTCATGTGGGCTGAAGATTTGAAGGAAATAAATGGAGATACTTGGTTTTATGTAGTACTAAAAGCTAACCACAAAAATGCTTTTTCTGTGTTAGTTCAGTGACCCTTAGCATACAGTTATTGAAACGTCTCCTTCAGAGTTTTGCAACCCCCAAAAGATGAGTGGGATTAAACAGGTGGGATTTATTAGGATGCTACAGTTCTCTACAAAGATTTCACCTTTTTATTTTTCATTTTGATGGTAACTTTTTAAAAAGTCAATTGTTTCAAAAAACCTAAATACCTACAATTTTTAATTAAATAGTGTTTTGGATTTCAGTGCCTGCAGTTGTGTTTGTGTTGGTGCCAAATAGCAGTACTTTTAGATATTGAAAAATGAACAAATATGAAACTGTAAATAATATGTTTGAGCTGAGCAAGAGATTGCCATTTCACAATAGTTCAGAAAGAGAAAAGTGATGGGCAAATACAACCATCCCCAGCATGTGGTAGAACCAGCAGACTCCACAGAAACAGCCAGTAGCAGCCAATGCCAAGTTGACATGATCTTCCAATGTATCATTGATCACACTGAGTTGGTTTTGTCAAAATACAAATGGTGTAAGACAACTCTATTAGTTCTCAAGTTTTTCCTTCAAGTTTTAGATGCATGTATCAGGGTAACTTAACCTTTGTTTCCTATGCAGTATAGTAGCCCCTGTGTTTGACTTGGTTGTTTTTGCCTGACCCATTCCAGCTTATACTTCATGAGCTTTCTTCCCTCAGGCATTCTTTCTGTTTGGAAGTACATGACACCCCTGTGCTGGGTGAGGTTCCCTTTCTTAATGCTCCTTATTGCACCCCATGCTTCCTCCTCTCCTGGCCCTTCCCACCAAAAGTTATGTTTTGTTTGTTTACAGATCTGATTTTCTCATTAGCCACAGATTGCAAGGAAGGCTGCAATATTTACAGCATTCCTTCATAAAGTAGGCTCCCAGCAAATGTGTGGGATTTTTTTGTTTGGTTTGTTTATTAGTTATAAATTATGAATAGAGCCAAGAATGGGAAGAGGCAAAAATTACTTAGAGCTAAGTCACCAATGACAGAAGCAAGAAGATTTCTAATATTTTAAAATCTGGTGTGTTCCTCAGCCCATTTTTCTAACTGGTCTCATCAAAAGCCCACAGTGTTACTATCAAAAAAATGAATTGAGGGTACTCAGTTGGTGTCTTCAAGCAAGTGGCAAGGAAATGGCTACTATTGCTAACAGAATGTATGTGGAAGACAGAAACTTGGCAAGTCTTAGTAACAGCTCCTTGGAGCTCTGATGGGGAACAAGGGTAGGGGTTTCTGTCTTAGCAGCTCCAAAGGCAAGCACTGTCACACAGGGGTGCTTCCACTTGGAAATCAGGTCCACAGAGCAGCTGTTTCCCCATATGGATGTGTGGTTGAGTGGGGGAATGGAGCTCAGTAAATTCCCAGACTGAATTATCTGTTTGATTAATGTTCCTTAATTTTAACACAGTTGTCTGGAGAGTTTGTACATTCTGCACCTGGATGGCATTTGTCTGCTCCAATTCCTTAAGCCCCTGATTTTGTTGACGGTTGAAATTTGTTTGAAATTATTTGCAAATTTCAGGTTTGTATTTTTTTTTAAAGATGTTTTTATTGATGCATTCAAGAACTGGGGCACAGGCCAGATGTGTGGGAGGGTGAGAGGATTCACCAGAGACAGAGTGGGGAACAGAACAGGCAGACTGACCGAAATACACTGCTGAGGGGAGCAGCAGGTGAGACAGGAGAGGTCTGCTGCGCCATGTGGGTATCTCCCCGGACAGCCGGATTGAACCCACGCTGGTGAGGCTGCGGACAGCTTCACAGCGCTGTGCTCAATGGCTTGCACCACCACGTAGGCCCTCGGGTCTATATTTTTGCGTACCCTGTTTCAAAGGTATGCTGCTGACTCAACAGAGAAAATGTCAGCTCTTCTTGGTGGAACTTTTTTTAAAACCTCATTGTTTTTAAGGGGAAAGTATCATTTGTCTCTTTTATAAGTACTTTATGGGGAAAAATATTATATTGTGACTTTTAAGAAAAATGTTACCACGAGGGCAAATTGACTGCTCTTAAAATAATGAAGCAAAGAAGCATTCCTTTTCCATAAATTAGAAATGCTTGTATCAGTTTTCAGCAAGGAAGAGAAAGAGTGTTTTCAAGCTAATTGAACATAAATTTCTTAATTTTATAATTGATTGTATTTCTGGTTTTTAAAACTATTTTCTGTCAAGGCCGTTGTGCTCCTGGTTGATAACATTGGTTGGAAGTTAGGTATTTGATTTGTCTCTTTTTGTTTTCTATAAATGGTGTGTTTTGT